ATAAAATAAAATAAATAAAATAAATAAGGAAGAAGCAGCAAAGAAAGAAAGAAAAGAATAATAATGAGTTCCTTGCATACTATTGGGGTGTATAGGCAGCTCATTATTATTAACAATAATAAAGGAATTAACGCTGCTAACTATTATTATTTATATTATTTAATTATATTATTATTTAATTATTATTATTTATTATTTATTTATATTATTATTTAATTATATAGTTATTTTTTTATATATTTATTTATTATTATACAGTTATGTTGCTAGCTTCCTATAGATAGGCACATAGTATTTATATATAAATGCATATATAGATAATGCATGCATTAAATAATAAATATATATTAATGCATGCATGCATGCATTAATATATATGCATGCACGCTTGCATGCATGCATTAATATATATGCATGCACGCTTGCATGCATGCATGCATGCGTGCATGCATAAAGAGGAGGAATTAATTATGTGGTTGTTTATAGCGAAGAAGTTGTAGTGCAGCAGGAAGACAGCGAGTAAAGAATTGCTGCAATTTTTGTTGCAGTTGCTGCTGCTGCTGCTGTATATGTTGCTGCATTTGCTGCAGTTGCTGCTGCTGCTGCTGCAGCAAAGAATCCCCAATAAAAGACATAGAGGGAGGAATAAATAAAAAAGGAAGAAAAAAAGGAGAAATAAATTTCCTTAAATAATATATATCCCCTACAGGGCTACCATATATTTCTATACTATTTGCTGCTGCTGCTGCTGCTGCTGCTGCACTGTCTCCTGCTGCTGTTGCTGCTGCACCTTTTACTGCTGCTGTTGCTGCTGCTGCTGCTTCGGATACTGCCGCTGCTGTTGCGTCTAAGCTGTCGCATACACCAAGGGATGATGCTGCTTCTTCTTCTGCTGCTGTTGTTGTTGTTGCTGCAGCAGCAGCAGCAGCAGCAGCAAGTGTAGGTAGCTGTTGCGTTTTGCATGCGCAATCTGCTCGTTTTGCTGCTGCTGCTGCTGTAATCTGCTGCGCCGTTGCAGCAGCATCGATGGTCCCTGCTGCTGCTGCAGCCATTAGCTGCAGCAGCTGCTGCAGCAGCAGCAGTCTTGTAGCTACTATTAAGGGGGCATTAATAAATATAATTGCATGCGTATGCTGCAGCAGCAGCAGGAGCTCAGCAGACACCCCAGATGTAGCAGCAAACTGCAACAATGCTGGGATCGTCTCCGGAGACGATCCCAGCTCCTCCATTAATTTTTTTATTTCTTCTTCTTCTTCTTTTATATCTATTATTATTTTTATCTTTTTTGCATGCATTTGCTGTACACAATACATACAAATAAATATTATTATATATTAAATAAATATATTAATGCTGCTGCTTATTAGCAGCAACAGCAGCAGCAGCAGCAGCAACAGCAGCAGCAGCAACAGCAGCAGCAACAACAGCAGTACAACTACTAAATAAATAAATAAAACAAATAAACAAAGAAGAATAAAAAAGAATAAAAAAGGAAGAAAGAAGAAAAAAAGAAGAAAAAAGACAAGAAAAAAAAAGAAAAGAATAACTAACTAACTAACTAAATAAATAAATAAATAAATAAATAAATAAATAAATAAATAAACATACAGGTAATGCAATAAATGTGTATAAATTAATAATTCTTAATAAAGCAGCAAATTGAATAAAAGAGAATATTTTTTTTTTTTTTATTTTTTTTCTTCTTTTTATTATATCTTCTTCTTCTTTTATTATATTTATACTTATATTATTTATATATAATGCACCTATATTCTCCTCTTCTTCTTCTTCTCCTGCTGCTGCTGCTGCTGTTGCTGCTGCTGCTTTTGCTGCTGCTGCTGTTGCTGCTGCTGCTGCTGCTGCTGTTGCAACAGGAGCAGTAGCATTTGCAGCACCAGTAACAACAGCGGCATTAGCGGCAGCAGCAGGACTACTACTAGCAGCAGCAGCAGCAGCAGCAGCAGCAGGATTAGCAGCAGCAGCAGCAGCAGCAGCAGCAGCAGAAGGAGGAGGAATAAAATAGAGAGGAATATGATTATTTATAGTATTAATATCTTTATTAATACTAAATAAAAAAGAAGAAGAATTAACAGAAAAATAATTTTTAGGGAAAAAAAAAGAAGAAAATAAATTATTTAATTTACATTCACCTGCATATACACCCCAAATAAATAAATAAATAAATAAATAAATAAATAAATAAATAGTTTATTTATTTATTTATTTATTTATTTATTTATTATATTTATTTATTTATATTTTATTATAATGTGTTTATTTTATTTATATTTACCTTTATACTTTAGTTATTACTATTAGTGTTATTTATTTATTTATTTATTTATTTATTTATTTATTTATTTATTTATTTATTTATTTATTTATTTATTTGTTTGTTTGTTTTTTCTTTATAGTGTGCCTGCTGCCGTACTTGGCAATAAGGCATCCACTTGATCTTTTGCTTCAGCAGCAGAAGCATCTTCTGTTGCTGCTGCTGTTGCTGCTGTTGCTGCTGCTGCTGGTGTTGCTGCTGATGTTGCTGCTGCTGCTGCTGTTGCTGCTGCTGCTGCTGTTGTTGTTGGGAGCAGCAGGAGAAAAAAGAAGAAATGTAGATAATTCATTTTAGTAATTAATTGTATTAAAAATAAAAGAAGAAAAACAAAAGAAAAAACTTTTTCATGCCCTGCAGTCTTCCTTATTAGCTGCCTATACACCTGAAATATTGGGGTGTATAGGCACCCCTACTAAGGCCTTTTCCTGACTCCTACACACTTTCTATCAGAGTACCAGCAGCAGCAGCAGCAGCAACAGCAGCAACAACAGCAGCAACTGCAGCAGCAACTGCAGCAGCAACAGCAGCAGCAGCAGCAACAGCAATATTACTACCTGCAGCAGCTGTAGCAGATGCAGCAGCAGCACAGATAACAATACAGTATATAAACCCAGTAATCACTTTCTTCTATTTGCTGTTTCTTAGTTAGTTATCCCTTAATAATAATATAATTAAACAACTAATCGTTATTTAATTGTATTTTTATTTATTTTATTTTTTTTTTATTTTTCTTTAATTATAAATAAAAAGGTGAATATACACCCGAGATAGGGGGGCCCCCGCATTTGGTGCAACACAAGGAAATGAATGCTCTGTCTCTACAGAAACAGAGAATAAAGAAGAAAAAAATAAGCAAAATATAAAAAGAAATTAACAATTTAATTAATTTAATTAAGTTTAGTAAAAGAATAGACAAAAAAGGCGTTATATGACCTTGGGGGGCCCCCATGGGGGCCCCTCGATTGTACCACAAAAAAAGAGCTGCGCATACACCCCAATAAATAAATATGAATTAATTGCAATAAATGGTATAAAAAGACATTTAATTGTTAATGTTTGTTTATTATTTTATTTTTATTTAATTATACTTCTTTTTTTATGCGTAGATCTCCTTCCCTTTCCTCTTTTCTTCTTTTTCTTTGTTTTTTTCCCTCCAAATCGGCAACAAGTTGTCTGTACACCGCATCAGAGGGAAAGCAATAATTACCTTTTATTGTCTTTTTTTGTGTAATTTTTGTTCTTTTTATTTATTTAATAAATAAAATAAACATTATTTTCTCTTGTTTTCCTGTTGGCGGTGCAATTAAACCCTCTTTTCCCTCTCCTACCCGCCTATTGACATATTTTATACATCGACTGTTTTCCTTCTTCTTTGTTTTTCCTTCTTCTTTTATTTATCTGTTAATCTTCTGCTTCTTGCTGCTGCTATTTGTTTCTTTTGTGTCTTGTTTTCTGCTGCTGCTGCTGCCGTTGTGTCGTTATAATATTATTTAATCCTTTTTTTTTCTCTTTTTTTCCTTCTTTTCCTTCCTTCTTCCTTTTATTTTTCTTATAAAGAGATGAATTTAGCGCCTCCTTCGAGGCTGTTGCTGCCGGTCCTTCGGCCAGCAGCAACAGCAGCAGCAGCAGCAGCAACAGCAGCAGCAACAGCAGCAACATCAGCAGCAGCAGCAGCAGCACCAATGCTGAGGTGTACAGGCAGATATTTTTCCTCTAAAGGAGAACTTCCTACTCCTCTGTATACACACCATCGAATAAAACCACAAAAAAAACAATTTATACCTACTATTAAGGAAGGTAATTTATTTATTTTTTTATTTATTTATTTATTTATTTAATTTATTTACTTGTTTGTTTATTTATTTATACTTATTTATGTGTGTATATTTAATTTTAATTTATTTTTATAAATATATAAGTTAATTATATTATTATTAAATAAATAAATAAATTAATTGATTAATTAATTAATTAATCAATTAATTAATTAATTAATTAATTAATTTATTTATTTATTTATTTATTTATTTATTTATTTATAGGGAAGTATGCAGTATTACCTGCACAAGAGATACCTGATGGTCTCCTTCGTCCTGCATATGCAGCAGCAGCAGATGGTCGTCCTCAGCCTCCTGCTGCTGCTGCTGCTGCTGCAGCAGCAGCAGCAGGACGACGACGACGACGACGTCGTTTATTTTATATATATAATGACCCTACTGATTGGTCTATTGACTATAAAGGAGAAATACAAGAAGAAAAAAGCATAAAAAAAATAAAAATTGTCTCCTCTTTTGCTGCTGCTGCTCTTCGTCTTGCTGCTGCACTTGCTAAACCAGGTATTTATTTATTTATTTATTTTATTTATTTATTTATTTTATTTATTTATTTATATATTTATTTATATATTTATTTATTTATTTTGTTTATATTCTTTTTTTATTTTATAGTTGTTTAGTTAATAATATATATAGATACATAAATATATTCCTGCAGCTGCTGCTGTTGCTGCTGCTGTTGCTGTTGCTGCTGCTGCTGCTGCTGTTACTGCTGCTGCTGCTGCTGCTGCAGGTGTAACGACAGAAGAAATAGATAAAAAAGTACATTTATATTTAATAAATAAAGGGGTTTATCCTGCAGCAATTAATTTCTTTGGTTTCCCCAAGGCATTATGTACATCTGTTAATGAAGGTGAATAACTAAATAAATAAATAAATAAATAAAATAAATAAATATATTTATTTATTTATTTACTTATTTATTTATCTCCTTTTTATGTCTCTTTTTTTTACTCCTTTTGTTAGTTATTCTTTATTATTTTTTTTTCCTTTTTTCCCCTTTTATTGCGGGAGATAAACATCTCCATTGGGGTTTAGGGTTTAGGGTTTAGGGTTTAGGGTTTGTGCTCAGTTGCTTGTCATGGTATTCCTGACTTACGTCCTCTAGAGGAAGGAGACATTGTCTCCTTTGATTGTACGGCTTTTTATGATGGATTCTTTGGTGCGTATACACCCCAAAAAGCCCCAAAATATGCATGCATGCATGCATGCATGCACTAATGCAGATTCACGTTTGGGGCTTTATTTGTGCATGCATGCATGCACAAATAAAGCCCCAT